ACACCCAGGTGCCAGGCCCCCGAGGCCCCCGCACATCCCTGAGCAGAACAGATGTCCCCCGAGGACGGGCACGAGCTGCGCGGGCCTCACCTGCCGCGGAGCTGGATGGCCTCGTCAAACTTCTTGTTGTCCATGGCTTTCTGCACCTCCTTCGTCTTAAAAAAGAGAAGCCGAGAGCACCAGCTAGTGAGGGGCCTGGCCCACCTGGTAGCCCAAGGGGGCGGGCCTGGGAGACATCTGACCCTGCCCAGACCTGGCAGCCTGTCGCTGGGGGCAGTGGTCACTGCCAAGGCCAGCTCTCAGGGCTGGCAGGGGCCAAGCAGGCCCCACCTGGTCCCAGCCACCACGTCCTTCCTGGCAGAGGCACCCCAGGGCCTCACACCACTCTGGGCCTCACAGCCCTGGGGCCAGGCAGGGCCTTAGGAACAGAAGGCAGAGGCTGCCTGGCCCCCAGACCCATGATCAAGCCCAGCCTAGCTGAGCCGGACCCTGGCTAGATGCCAGCGTCCCCATGCCTGGGGTCCCCATCCCTCTCTGCCCTCACGCTCACCTCCCCTCCTGTGGTCCCTGCTCCAGCCAAACCACGTCCCTGCCCCCTGTGCCCTTCTCCCCCACTCCAGCTTCCCTACCCACGGGAGCCCAGGTGATCTGCTGCCCTGGCTCCCTGAAGCTCAGACACCCCTGTCAGGGCCTGTCCCACGTCCTACCTCCCACCTCCCACTCACGCCCCCCTCACGGGGCCCACCATGCTGCGGAGACCACCGTGGCAGCCCACCCCCTAGAGCAGCGGTGGGGGGCCATGCTCACCATCTGCACGCACTCCATGAGGGGCAGCCGCACGGACTGGTTCCCCGAGTGGCTGACCACGCAGGCCGGCGTGTCAGGCGTGGCCTCCAGCAGCGCCATCACGGCCTCCACACCCATCTTGCTGCTCTGCGGGGAGGGGGCGGGGCTGAGGCCTGCGCAGCCCATCCCCCACACACGGCCGTCCACTGCCAACCATGTGCCCAGTGTCCCTCTGCATAAACCTCAGCTTTCAAAGCCCTCACACACACGTGCACACACTGACACGTGCACGCGCGCGCGCGCACACACACACACATACACTCTGGCTGAAGCTTCCAGGACAGGGGGCCCCAGGGACAGAGACAGTCTAGCCAGCATTCATGACACCTGGTGGGCACCATCTCTGGGGGTCCCCACGGCCCTGCTAGCAGGTCCAGACCCTGCACCGCGAATTGTGGTGCCGCGGCCTGCGCACTCCTTTGGCCTGAGCGCGTAGGGTGGGGGCTGGAGCCGGGTCTCTGGTTCTTTCTGCTACAACCAGGTTCCTCACGTGGACTTCCCTGGGGCGTGTCACTGCCGGACATGGGCTGCAGGGCTGGCCAGCTCTCGCCTCCAGGAATCGCCCCACTGGGGACAAACCACAGGCGCAGGTCTGGCACGGCCGAGGGAACGGGCAAGCATGCAAGAAAGCAAGGCCTGAGGTGGCCGCCTGCTATCCCACGACCACCAGCTGGCAGGTTCCCTGCGTCCTGGACGTCCCCGCACGCCGGCTGACAGAGGGTCTGCTGTCCCCGCGGGTCTCTGCACATCTCTCAAGCGAAGCACCGCCTGCCCCTTGTCCCGGACCACCTTGTCCAGGATGTCTGTCTGGGAGCAAGTCTTGGCAGAAGGATCGCGGCTCCCTCGGGAGCACCGTGCAGGCAGGCC